ACTAAGATTATCAATAGTATTTTTCATTTCCTAGAAAATATAGAAATAAAAAATATTTTATTTAGTTTTTAATTTTAGTTTTTTCATTATTATTTACTCTTTGAAAGGCATTTACAAATGCTTCACGTTCATTCGGATTTTGAATCCATTTTGATGCAAGCAAATCAAGTTCATTTATAAATGCATTATTAACTGGCTTAGTTGATATTGTTGAATGTTGTGTTGAAATAATTAAATGTAATTTTGAACCATCTACTATTTGATAATCTCGTATTGAGCCATCATGTAATGGTTTACCTTTTAGAACTAATTTTTGTTGACTTACTGAAATATTTAATTGATTAGAAAGACGAGATTTGATTTCTTGAATTGTATCAAGTGGAGATACCTGAGATTTGAATTGTTTTATTAAATAATAATAATAGATAAGTGAAACTTACTTCTAATTGAACTTCGGCTAATGCCGGATTGTTAAGTACTTTAATATGAATTAACATCTAAAAATGAGCGCATATCCGCATAGATACAATTGTTTATTTCGTTTTTTTCTTTTTTCTCTCTTAGATACATATACTTAGTTCGATATTTATCTCTAAAACATAGAAATACATATAGCTGAAGGAAACAAAGAAAAACTAGTGCACACAAGGAATTGTTTCGAACAACCACACACTGCTTGATCAAATAAACAAAACAAAAAATATAAGCAAAACAAAAGTACATAGAGAGTCAATAATTATCTCCATGATGAAGACGATCACACGGTAATAATAATAATAATAATAATAATAAGAAGAAGAAGAAGAAAAATAATAGGAAGTGTAATTAACAACACATATGATCAAGAATAATATGAAAGAAAACAAAAACGAACTGAAGAGTTTAATCTCATTCATCTATTTGTGATAATGGTGCGGAAACGTTTTCATTAGCACCTTGTCGGTGGCGTTTAGCAGCACGTAGTTTGGCAATACGTGACATTTCTGGTGCAAGATGATTGATATTTTCATCATCATCCGCATCGGCTCGACGTTGAGCATGATTAGCTGCAGCAACTAAAAACATATTCAAATATTAAAAAAAAAAAAAATTTCTTCTTTATCATCAACTTACTCTCAACCTAAAATACAAAAAGAAAAACAAAAACTAATAAAATTATTTAAAAAATTTTAAAGCTTTCTACATACACGCATTTGTTCATAATTTTCAGCGTCAAGCATTGGACGAATATCAATTGGTGTTTCGGGTACTGTACCTGTAAACCATGAACATCTAACAATCCAATCAATAGTTACACGAGCAGCTGGATCAACTGTAAGCATTTTTTGTATAATTGATTTTGCTTCTTGTGAAACATTTTTCCATTCAGCTTTTGGAAATTGATATTCACCAGCTTTTATTTTTGTTTTCATTCCAGCACTAATAGCACCACCATGTGTAGAAAAAAATGGAGGATAACCACATAATAATATATACATTATTACACCCATTGACCAGACATCACAAGCCTTTATTGTGAAAAAAAAAAAAGTTCAAATTTATTTTGTATCAAAAAAAAAAAAGAAAATAACTGATTACTTTATCATATTTGTCATTTGATAAGATTTCTGGTGCAACATAGTATGGAGTGTAACTATAAAAGGAAAGTAAACAATAGCGATAGAAATTCTTTCGGTAGCAATCTTCGATGGATTTGACAAGCTCAATCTGTTGACTATACGAGTAAAATTTTTACAAAAATAATTCTTTTGAATCAGTGATTATGAAGTTCTCAGAAAAATTATCATAAGTTGAACAAAAAGAAAAATGTGTGAATATAACTCAGCTCTATTTCAATGTCAAGAGAAACAAATGGTGCATCAAACTGAAGTACCAGATAAAAGAAGAAAAATTTAATGTATTTTCGGCTTAGTTTTAATAAAACAATTTTTGTGTTAAAATACTTGATTACAACGAACTTCACTATATAATCATGAGAAAAAGCACGTGTCTCTTTGTTATACTTCTAATTACACTCTGTAATATTATTAAATTTATCTAAAGAAAATTAGAATCGCGTAGTATTATTTATCTAATTTTTCTACTTAAAATTTCTTAGCAAATCTTGTGATATATATTCTTGCAGAGAATTGTATCGTGAAATTTTTTTAAAAAACAAAAGATTAAGATATGCAGATAAACGTTGAGATGCATTTATTCTAGCCTACTCGTTATTATTTGACCTTTATCTCAAGGGCATTCTTTCGTTCTTGTCAAAGAACAATTGATAAGTCTCAATCAGTAGAATTAAACTTCTGAATGATTTATTCTGTAAATTATGATTTTAATTGTTTAAAGGGAATATAAAGATTTTACTTAATATATCATATGTTCATTTCAAAAAGAATATATTCTCCTACCATGGAGTATTTAATGGACGTTGTTCATTATTTCCTTAAAAAATAAAATGACATAGACATGTTTATTTATAAAAACTCATTCTTAATATACCTTCTTTAGCAAATCCAAAATCAGTTAATTTCAATATAGCAGAATCAGATGTATCGGTAAAAAGTAAATTTTCTGGTTTAAGATCACCTATATTAAATTAAATAAATATAAATAAAAACAAAAATGAATTGTATTTTAGAAGTAAATCACTCACGATGAGCCTAAAAAAGAAAAATAATAAAAAGAAAAGAAAAACAAAATTCAAATCTATCTTACCATATCCATACGATGTAAATGTGCTACAGCTTTAGCAATCATTAAAATAACATGTGCTGCCTCGCGTTCTGTATATGGTTTATCCTGTCGATCTCGAATACGATTAAATAATTCTCCACCTTCCATACTAAAAAAAAATATATGACGATTAATTAATTCTATTTACAAAAAAAAAAACGAACCATTCCATAACTATAAGTAAACATCGATTTGATGCATACATATTTTCCTTTTACAAAAAACAAATAAATATTTAGAAAAATGAAAAAAATATATTTTCAACATACATATACATCAAGTACTTTAACAATATAATCACATCCTTCACAAGCTTTTTTATGTAAGATAACTTCACGTCGAGCTTTATCGGAATCCTTCAAAATCTACGAAAAAAAAAAATAATTTTATTTAAAAAAACTTTTTCGAAAAAAGTCTATTTACTTTTAATGCACATTTACGTTTTGTTTCACGATGCCAACAAGTAAGAACTTTACCATTAATACCAACACCTAACGATTCTTTTGATACTTCATATTGATCTGTAACAGCATTACGATGTGTTGGAAATGGAAATTGACGATATTTTTCCGAGATATTTGATGGCCTAAAGAAATTATCGTATTGAATTATTTCAGTAATAAAACATAAAAACCATCATTATTTGTTCTATTCAAATATATATATACATTATTCTATTTTACTTACAAATTATCACTCATCTGGATAGATGTTACACCAGATTTATCTTGTTTCTGCTGCTTCTGCTGCTGTGTATTTGTTTCATCGGTAGGATTTGCAGAAGATGAAGTAGTGTTTCCTTTTCTATATTTTCGAAACAGATCTCGGAGGCCCATTTAAAATTATTTTCTATCTTCAACAACGATGATATTTTTGAGAGAAAGAAGTAGAATCGTAAAAAAAAACAAAGCAACACTGTACAATGGGATTAATAAAAACCATATGGTTTCATTCTCATTTAATGTCAATATATTATATTCTGATGATGATGCCTAACATCACTTTGGTTTTTGACTTTACTATCGCCCACATGCTATATTTATGTGTCAATACAACATATATAAGAAACTAGGTATATAATACTAGGACGGTGTTATACAAACGATAATAGATGACTGATATTCTTTTTCTTTTCATTTTCGGATGATTATTCTACATGTATTTATGTTGATGTATTCTATCTGCATTCGTCATCATTATTATTACACGTCACTATTTTTTATTGGCTATATGCAGTTTATGCAGTATTTCGTAAAATTTGTGCAAAACACCATACTATTTACATAGAAAGAAAATAATAATAAAAATAAATCACGTACTAAAACAAAATCTTGTAGTTTATTATCTTACATTAGTTCTTGATTCATGCCTTGAAAATGTTTAAAAAAAAATCAAATAGGTAAGACGTTATTAAGTAGTCTCTGCACTGACTTCAATTCCTTCATGACATTTAATAGAAGAAAAAAATCAGCGAAAGATATGAAAAAAAAAGTCCACTAGCAGCAGCAGTAGAAACAAGAAAAAAACAACTTTTTCTATTATCCTTCCAATAAATAAAATATGTTTTTACTGTTTTTTTATTGAAAAACATGAATGTTTACTTGTAGCATTCGATTTCAATCATGGCTACCTACTTTTTATTTGACGATGCTTTTTTGTCTGCCATTAAAGTAGTCGCAATATAAATTGTCTTACACAGAGAAAGAGAATCAAATTAAATCTAAAGGTAACCATACAAACAATACGAAATTTACAATAATTTCTTTTCTAAACAAGATTATGAAATTTTATTACACTATTAATGAAGTATTTTTTTCCTCCTGTATCTCTATACATAGAAATGACATCAAGGCAACAACAACAACAAACGAAAGGGAAAAAAACAGAACAAACACAACGACGACGAATGAATGTTATCGAACAAATATGAATTCGTCCCTTATTTACATATTATGATTAATAATAAAACAAATTAAATATTTTATTTGAATGATAAAATCATTTTGAAAAAAATTAAAAAACAGAAAAAAATAAATACTAAAATTTCAATACTGATAGCGCTATGATTGTACTAGTCATTTTCGACCAATGAAAATAAAACTTGTCAGCTGCTTTTATCCTTTACTATCATATTGTTATTATTTCGTCTAAATAGTGCAGTTTTATCAGTTAATGAAGTTTTTCTTTCATTTTCGATCATCAAAAACTAAAGTATCAAAAAAAAAAAGATAAAATATTCTTTTATTTTAGATATTGAAAACTAATTTTTTTATTCTATGGCTGAATTAGAACGTCCACGAATACGTTCGGAAAAGGTAGAATTTAAGAAATTTGTCTATTATTTAGTTGTACAAATTAATTATTCTTATCTATAGAAACAAGTAAAAGAGAAAACTGTAAATGATGAAGAATTACAATTAGAAGATCGTATACGTGATTTAAAAGAATATTTTACTGAAAGAAAAGTAACTTTCTAGAAATTGATTTTCTATACAGAACAATAATAATAATAATTTTACTGTTTTTCTTTTTTAAATAAAGAATCAAACGGCAGATGAAACCGTGGATAATACCAATGTAAATACAGAAGAGTCTTCTACTGATATCGAACAAAATCCTGCACATTCAGAACATATTGTGCAAGAAATTACAACCAACTCAGAGATAAATACAAATGAAAGTACACAACAAATTGTTATGAATACTGAGAATAATATAAATGAACTTCCTATTGTAAATAATCAAACGACAATTACTGAACAAATCAACGAAACGTCTCTCACAATCAATGATAACGACAACGAAATAGTTGAAAATAGAATTGTATGTATATACATATATATGATTGAACAGTACCGAAAGACATACATAATCAATTTTTTTTCAACGATCTACTTAGTGAACCTTCGAGACCTTACTGGAATCGTTAAGTTGGAGAATCAATAGTGGTTGAGATTATTGTCATTTAGTAATAATCAAAACTTCAGACAGAAAAAATAAACACTTTAAACTCGTCGGGTCTTCTATTATTATGTCCATGTGTAGATATTTTTCAGAAGTGCTTCCTATTGGGTCTCGTTTTGAATTCAAAAGGTTGTAAATACTTAGAAACGATGTTGACATCAGCTATGTAAGGTTTTTTTTAGCTGAAAACCTTCTACAATAGGAATATTTTAATGTAAATATATTCTGCGATAGTACGAGAAATCTATTAATTGAGAAGCCTTCCTATTATATCCAACGTATCGTTCGTCTTGAGGGAGTGTAATTTCTATTGCGAGAAGACGAAACTTTCCCTCATAGTATGTATATCTTCTGGGTCAACTATCTATATGATTAATCGAGACAATCAATTTTTGTTTTTCTATTCTGATCTGATAGATAAGATTAGATTAAAGAGAGGATATCATTCGTTATCATCTTTCTATCGAACGTCAAAGAATACCAATGTTACATATTAGTCATAAGTAAAAAAAAAGACAATCTTTCTTAGATACACACTATTTCAATTAATATTATTTCATTAAAAATTTCTTTGAATTCTTTTTCATATTCATAGATATATGAATCAAGTGAAGATCAATCTGAAATAAGAACAACTAGTCATTTATCTGAAGAAATATCTTCATCAAATTTAATTAATTATGAAACTTCGTCTGTTCTCTATCCTCATTTATCATTATCATTATGGTCTCCAGCAACAGCACCATTATCTTCATTTGATATTGAAACAAATACAACAATAAATGATCCATATTCATTAGAAAATTTTAATCCATCTCGTCTTCAATATGAATTACGTCAAACATATTTACCATATATAAATATAACAGATGAATATTTTCTTAGTGAACATGAAAGTTTTATAACAGATAATCCACGTCATCGTTCATTAATAACAAAAGATGAAAATGATCTAAAACATGGAAATGATGATGATGATGAATTTTATTTTTTAATATCATCATTTTATGATATACGTACTAAAATCGATCAATTAACAAATGAATATGATGTATTACAACGAAAAATTGCATCTTTATTACCACATGTATGGTCATTTTCATGTGAAAAAATTGAATCTGGTTCATATTGTGGTGATAATGTTTATTTAAAACGTTCAATACTTTATGAACAAGCAAATTTTGATAGAAATTTAGCTAAAGAAATTGAAGATACATTAAAAAATTTACGTACAATTATATATCAACAATATGTTGCATTAAAATATGAAACATTATGGTATAAAATGAAAATTGATATATATATTTATAATTTAATATCATTAAATAAACCAACAAAAAAATTATTACATACAATTGAAATTTTATTTAATTTTCAACGTTATCGTACACGTGATAATTTATTTTATACATATACAAGACAATTATTAAAACAAACAATTGATATTATTTATAATTATGGAAATTATAATGAAACATTATTTATTATTAATCATGTACTTCGTTGTCCACCTGGTATAAATCAATGGGCAACAAATTTTGTTAGATTTCTATTACCAATATCATTTGATATTCTTTGTTCACCTATGTATATACGTTATGTTGCACATTTTCTTGCTACACTTTTATTTCCAATTAAAAATCGTGATATATTTTTACAAAATTGGCTAGGTGAAAATGGTGAAACAGTACCACAATTATCATCATTAAATACAGTTAAAAATCAACAACAACAACAGTGGATGTTAATTGATGCTGATGGACATGAACGTGCAGCATTATTGAGATGGGATACATTAAATGAAGATGATTTAATTGCTTTATTAAATCAATTTAATTTAAATTATTTAATGAACATACTTTTTAGTTTAAATGATCAAACAAATCAAGAACAAAATATATCATATGAAAATACTGTACGAATATTAGCAATATTGGATTTATTTGTTGAAATACTTTGTCGTGGTTTTGATACTTATGCTGATTCACAATATAAAAATTTTCATAAACATATTGGAAAAATGATTAGGTAGAGTTATTTCATTTTGAAATTATTCAAAAATTAAGAGAATAGATTTTTTTTATCAAAGGGGAAGGTTTACAGGAAGATTGTATAATGCATTAAAATTATATATAAAAAAAATTTTTACGTCTGTTCAACTGATCTGTTTCATTAGTGCAGCTACCATGGTCCTAATGGCTACGTTGTTCGACACGTTTCCACAGGATACTGTATGCAATCTCTAATGCCATTAGTCAAGGAATGACTTTGGACAAATTACTAATGGGTATTCATCTTGGATGATCCATCGGATAGCATGATTACTACGTTGTGACATACATCTGCTCTTGTAGTTAGTTATATTAGACAGGTCTTCTTTCGCTCTTTCGGAATATTTATTCAGAATTCCCTTATGAAATAAGATTGGACAACTATCATCAGATTGTTGTACACAATGCGAAACAGTACTTATAATGGCTCAATTTCAGTTGATCTACAAAGGGTGATATTTTTTTTTTTTTTTTTTATAAAACTTTTGTATTTTTAAATGAAGTTTTTTGTCCAATACTGATTTCCATAGAAACTATCTCCTTAGTAAAAATACATAGATGAGATTTTAGTATAAAACTCAATGTTCTACAATAGAGCGAAAAAATCTGATCTTATGATTAGGATTCATTTATTTATATGTATAAAATCCAAACAAGATTCAACGTTTTTTTTTTCGATTTTTGAAAAACTTTTTTTGCAAGGTTAGATAGAAAAATTTTGATTTTATTCTTTAGAGATTGTGTTCATGTATGTCGATATCATGTCGATTGTGTACTTCAACATTTAGATAATGATGATAAAATTCGTTTAAGAGATCATTATTTTGCTTATATTTATCGATCAGTAGAAAATATAATTCGACAATGCAGGTAAAACAAAATAATCAAAACGTAAATATTAAATTAATAAAATCTTCTTATATTTTGATAGAAATGTTCGTTGGAGTTTATTATCATTATTTGCACTTTTTGATCTTCCACAATCATTACAATATCGTTTACTTCATCTTATTTGTTCAATACCAGATGATGAATCAATAACAGGTTAATATACAAATTTAAGTTTGTTTATTTTCTTAAATAATTTGATTTTTCTTCTTAAGTTGAAACAACTGCAGCTATTGATCAAATGTTAAATTCTGCAACACCAAGTGAAATTTTATCACTTCTTAAAGTTCTTCATAATTTAGGTCAAACAGGTGATGAATCTGGTCAAATATCAAATGTTATTTTTTATATAACATGTCTTCATCCAATATCACGTGAATATTCATTACGTGATGGTCGTTCAATATTAGCACATTTTGCTTCATTACGACCAACAATAATAAGTCATTTATTAAAATTAGCATCAACACATATTGATGCTGTTGGAAAAGTTTTATTTGGTTTATTTCGTTCATTACCAATGGATATATGGATGCCAAATGATAATGATTTATCAATAATTGAAATATGGCTTAATGATATATCACAATCAACAATTGCATTTCAATTAGCATTACGTTTAATTGATACAATGAATTGGCAAGATTTATCTGATAAACGACAACTTTGTATATCATATACAATACATTGTGAAATGGCGTTAATATTATTAAAATTACATTTAAAATATTGTGATAAATCATCGGCATCAAAAGAAAATCAATTACAAGTAACTATTATTATTTTATTAAAAACAAAGAAAAAAAAATATTTGTGTTGTTGTTTTTTTTTGTAGATTCAAAATTTTACAAAACAAACACAAATTAATCTTGATCAATGGATATGGGCAGCTGTTTTACGTTTACAACTTAATCAATCTTGTCTTTCAGTAGATTCATTTATTGATAGTATGAGTCAAGAACATGTACCTAATTTAAATGAAACTCAACGTAATATTTCAACTGATAATGGAATGTCCGATGATGCTATTAATGATATTCGACGTGCTATTGAACAGTATCATAATCTAGTTGCATATTATATATCATTTGGTCTTGATCAACCAGGTGCTAGGTCAGTTTAGATTAATCATTTGAATATTATTTGTTACGTATATGATAAAAACAGAATTTCTAAATTCGAATGATGAGTTGTATAGACAATTGTTTGGTCACAGAACAAAAATGAAGACATAACTTTTTACTAGGGAAAAACATTGATTTTAGCTATTGATTGGTGTCAGATATATGTTTTTTTTGACATTCATTCTTATTACAAAATTTTTGTTTTAGTGCTGCTGGTTTCTTTGAAAGAGGTATTGATTATTTATTTCAACTTGTACAAAATGGCAAATATTCCGCAGCTATTCGAGTTCTTCATGATATGTCTGGAATTTTAATACGTAGTGCCGATTATTTAATTGAACATATTCAGTAAGTCATTAAAACACAGCGTGTTCTAAAAGTATGCACGAAAAAAAAAGGATGTAAATAGCTTCTCATAACAACTGCACGAGGTTGAAATACAATAAATCCATTATTTTTAAATATACTAATCATTATTAAACAATTTTGCAAATATTGGGTTTTATGTAGTTCTATGCAAAAAAAGAACTCGAGTAATGATAAGTCCATGCGATAACGTAGTAAATCGGATTATTTCTTTGAATCCATATGTTAGATTGAGGAACTATTCGTACAAACTTTTGGGACATCGTGTAGTTTATAAATTGTTGCTTTATGTTTGATAATTTTATTACTTAGATTTATGACAACATTAAAAACATTATTAAATGCATCTGATACATCAATGTCTTTATTAAAAACAGCATCATCATATCTTATTCAACAAAGATCTTATGATGAAACAACAAATACAAAAGTATTAACAGCTGCTATACTTGATTTACTTATTTGGCTTGAAGATAATCCAAAATTTCGACGTTTAGTTTTATTACTTTGGTTTAAATTATTAACTGCATTAAAAGATTGGAATAAAGATAGGTAAAATAAGAGAAAAAAGAAGAAACCAGAAGAAAATAAGTCTATACATATATGTATGTTTTTAGTTCAATTCTATTCGCTCTTGATAATCTTCTGGCACATTCATTTGTACATGATGTCATGAATAAAGAAGTTACTGATCATTTATTCGAATTGGCTGTCGTAAGTTTTTCTTATAATTTCATTCAATTAGTCTATAATATTATTTATTTAAAAAATTTCGAGTTGTGGGTCGATCGAAATCAGGATTAGGTGCCTGATTTGAGCCTAAGCTTTTACTTTTTGTCGGATTCTAGTTCACAAAAAAAATAGTAGAAAGACATTTTTGAATAATCAAAATTATCGAATAAATCTAGTAAAAATAGTTTTACACTGAAATAGCTAGATTTTATGATACGAATGTACGAAAAACGGTTAAAGCAGTGATTTTCATCTCATGTTGTTTTGAGCATAATCTAATACTTTCAATGCTGTAATTAGTATTTAAATGTTTTTTAAAAAAATGAACTTCATAACACTTTTATGTGAAAAAAAAAAGTTCGATTTCATTATATTTTTTTCAATAGTTCATGTTCAGCCAAAACAATTTTTTTATGACTAATTTAGACCACATGTCTTTTTTTTTATAGTAAAATTTGATTAAATTTTCATTGACAGTTTTTCTTCTATCGAAAACCTGTTTCCGAGAACTTTCATAAAGTTTGAAATGGTAGACAAACAAAAATTTTTTTTAAATTTAAATTTTTAACTTTTTCAACTAATACAAATCTCGATCTAATTCAAATACTTACAGAAATTAATTAGCGCATGAAGATGCCATTTTATGGCACATCATTGTAATTTATTTGAACTAACCTACGACATGAAAGTCTTAGCACACAATATTCACCCATTATTCAGATATTAAAACACAACACTCTAGAGCCAAAAATTTCGATTGAAATTTATCTAATTCAAAATACGAAACAGTTTTTAATGGTTCCGTTTTGTTTGTTCTACAGCATATGCTATTTGCTTTTACATGACAGATTTTAACACTTAAATATTTCTAATTCCATTTTTTGAATCTGCGATTTCTATAAAAACTCGTCCTTTAGTCAAAATCCAGAGATGAGATTTCGTTACTGAACTCTATGTTTAATACTAATGTTGAATTGAAGCTATTCTAAGACATTTAACTAAAGACTGCATCGAAACTGCCCTATTTGGTTGTGTACAGACAAAATATATTGATAGTTGTTCAGCCTTACGCCAGAAGGAAAATCTGAACATAGATTCAATAGGCTTTTGCGCTACAAGCTAAATTTTTCCTTCAAATTGAAATGCACAATCAATCATTAAAATGATTTGATAAGAGCTAAAATTATTTTCAAGCAGATTTTATCTTGACCGACAATGAATTAAATATTTGTTTAATAGATCTTTCAAATATATTCAAAAAAAAAAAAAAAAAAGAATTTCTATTTTAATTTAGTCGGCATTAAATCCAAGACAAAATCAACTAGTAACACGTTCAGGTTTTCTATCATGGATACCATTACCATCAGCTGTAACTTCGACTCAAACATATTGGTCATCATTATCGATTGATTCTTCCTTTTTATCTCGTTATCCCATAGTTAGTTATTATTTTTTAAATGCTGAAAATTCATTTGAAATCGATCAAAATGTTCTTGTTGAATTAAAAGCTGAACTTGAATTAAATCCAACTGGTAAAGTTGATCAAATTTGGAAGGTTTGTTCTTTTTAGTTATCACTTTTTTGTCTAAAGAATTTTTTTTTTTTTTTTTTTTTTTGTCATTTTCTAATAGAAATTAATCCAACAACGTCATTATCCATATATTCCCTTAACAAGTTTATCAATCTATCGTTGGGGTACAATGGCATGTGAAATGCCAGTAACTCATCCATTATTACCACTTGTTTGGGAAAAATTTTTTACAATTTATTTATCTAAACATAATAATTGTCTTCATCGTGTTGGTTATCGTTTATTTGAAAGTCCAGTTCAAACAACATTTCTTAAACAAATGAAACGTTCATTATGTCAAGCATGTGAATATTATTCTTCAACACCAAATTTACCATATGGAAATCAATTATCAACATTTTATCATTCATTATCATTATGGATTGATGAACCACGTTTACATGATCCACAATTAAATATTATTTCATTACCAAAACAATATGATAATGAACGTTTAGAACATTTATTTAATGCTGATTATCGTATATTTGATATAAAATGGCTTGAATTAGTTGATTTAAGACAAATGTATGAAACATTAATTAAATTTACAAATGAATTATGGTCAAGAAAACGAGCAATTAATGATAATAATAATAATCAACGTTCAAATACAAATCCACAACGATCAATAATGACATCATCACAAAGATTAATTGATCTTGTTTCAAATGTTCAACATCCAGCAATAAATTCAAAAATAACTGTACAAAATACAGAACAAATATCTATACCTAATCAACATATATTACCAAATGATCATAATGAAATAAAAAATTTATTTGAATCTGATTTAACAAAAATAATTAATTGGTTAGAAACACATTGTCAACGGCATGAAAAACAAATTGAACTTGATCAAACATTAATGAGTTTATTACCTTTATTATGGAAAAATGAATTTCAAGAGGTGAGAAAATTTTTCACAATTAGAGTCTTATTGGAAATTCGAGATCGACACATTTTGAAAATAAAACTGAACCGCACAAAAAGGATTCAAAATTCAATAAAATTTTGTTCCGTTGAACTCTGATGATTATATAAAACATAACAAAACGACTTTTAGAGAACAAAGAAAAATTACAATCAAAATAGTTACAGTTCACGAGTAATAATAGATAAATTTGAGGCTTTTTTTGATTAACGTAAGAAGTTTTCTTCCAAAGCGTGATTTTTTTTGTCTATTATTGGTGAAATCAATCAATTTCTACTCTTTTAAACGTACGAATGAGATTTAAATTTTTTTGCTGAAATACTAGTACAAAAAAACTTTCAAAAAACAAAGAAATTTGAGAAATCGAATTTTCAGAATAGAAACATTCTCAGGTAATCGCAGATAATAACACTATTTGTACAAATTAATAAGAAAACCACTGAAAAATTTTAGTTCCTTCATAGAGAGCAATGGATTCGGTCGAATTGTACTTTGAAATTTTCTAATTGAAATTGGATAATCGCCCAGAACATACAATATACTTTTTTTTCCAGTTTTTAGTTTTCGGTCACCAGCACATCCCCACACATTTATCAGACGACTATCCAAGCAGACAAAAATTTAAAAAAACGCGTTTAAACGCACAATCGGGAGCCGCGACTGTGATCCATTCACGCTCATTAAAAAAAACGCAAGAAACGACGTTTTTTTGTGCAAAATAGTCAATTTTCAAGCGTGNATATTTGTTTGTTCAGCAACTACAACTACTTCGTGAATACCTTCTTTGCTAGTCTTGCTGTCATTATCGTCTAGAACTATTTTTTTTTCTGTTCTTTTGTCCTCAGAAATCATATTAATTCTTCCTGTTTCATCGGATGAATAAACAAGAGAATGTATATGTTGATGTATATAAATTAAATGAATAATAAAAAATACGATAGAAAACTATATGTAAGAAATTGATTAAGGAGCAAAAATATTCATTATGAGTTGTTTGTGGTCAGTAGAAAATAAAAGTCATTTGTACAAAATAGAAATAATTAGAATAGAACACAAACATCAGTAGCTTTTGATAGGGTTTTTATCTATTTGTGGAAATGAAGACCTTCGAGATGAAAAGTGTTGATTAAAATTATAAATTATGCAGTACTAGAAAAAAGCAGAAAAATCTTCAAAAAGCAGAATTTTTCTGCTAAAAGCAGAAGAGGTGGCAACTCTGATTCGTAGATTATTCTCTGTCATAACAGTTAACTGTTTAGTGAGTGCCATAAGAGCATTTGCTATATCAGCTGATCCGATCGTTGCTTGTTGACAAGGTATCTGTTTTGATCTCCAGACTGGTACAGTATTTTGATTTTGACGTGGCAAGGGTGGAAAGTCATCCGGATTGAATACTGGTACTTGCTTCGGTGGTTCCAGTCGGTGGAGTACTCCGGTTGCAAGCGCACTATCGACTTCCTCGTTCAGTTGTGTTTTATATGCCTTAATAGTTTCACATTGACTACTAAGCAAGTGATGGTTTCCGTCACATTGTGCACATCTAGGTTGTTGAGAACAGTTATGTACTTGAATATCTGTGATTTCCTGAGGAACATATATGACAGTGAGCAGATGAAGCTTGACATCTATTTTTCATGTGTCCTATACACCAGCAACGAGTACAATAAGTTATTTTATTGTCTTGGAGAAAAGGTGTGATCGGTAACATAGCATTGCCAATAGATATACGCCATATGCTTAACGCTCGATCATACTCATGAAAATCTTTCACGCGAAAGCGATAATCATCTGTTTTTCGGTTATATGCGTATTGAAGCTGCTTTACGTTTTCTACTGATGCAATTGATCTTGAAACTTCTTCCCTTATAAATTCATAATCCATACCTCGTGGTACATATCGGATAACGAGTGCAAAGCAGTCGGGGATAAACTTCGGTTTCTCAATGGTGATTGATATATTCATTATATTAGTCGACCATTTAACAGTTGATACGAGATTGATGTAGTCTGCTTTGTTATTTACGCCTAATTTGAGTTTTGCACCAGCCCATCCAACGAAAGTAAATCTATTAATTCGAATATCTTGTTGTTTTAGATGTTGAACGATTTGTTCCGCAGCATTAAATGCCGATGGCACTTGTTGAGATGTATCAACGTGATTGAAAGTTATATAAAAACATGGTAAATTACTCGAGATAGCTCGTTTAACTTGTTCGAAAGGGATTTTGCGTTGATGTGCCGATTTCGATGTTGTATCACCTGATCGTTGTTCATATGGAGCAGACAGTATTACTTGGTTTGCTTGAATCTGTTTGTTATTCGATCGCTGTTGCTTCGACGTTGGTAGACCACCTGAACCAGAACTATCGTTTAATCTACGTTTATTTGGTGTCGATGCTTCTGGTTGCACTACAAATCTCGTTGGGATGCTTTTAGCATGATTTGAGTAATTTTGGGTTGGCTGTATGCTAACCAACACATTTTCGTAGCGAGAAGACCCATATTGTCCGAGTTTTGGGAGTACAGGTTGTTGTTGTTGACGAAAACGTAAGAAATCATTCAGAAGTGTTTCGTCATTTGCCAATGATTTTACGATGTTTTCTCGCTGCATATCCCCAAAATCATTGGAGTGCGGATCATAATTTGCCATTTCTTGTGAAACTTGCTGCCGATGTTTTAAATTTTTACTAAAAGACCGTTTAGTTTCTGCACCTTTATGTTCACCACCGGGGTAGTGATGGTAATCAGTTTCCATCGTGTGCTATATGAAACACCACGATGAAGAGAGAAGAGCACTTACGAAAGAATGTAAGCAAAATTGCAATGCGTCTGCTTTCGACGAAGACGACAAAAATTTGCATTGTTTATAACACAGCTTTACGTAGTGCGAAAAACTTTGCCTTCCCTGGTACTCATCATTAGATCGCCAGAAGCTTTCTGCCCTCAGTCTTACGGATAACTGCACGACAGAAAAATGCGTCTCTTGATATGTAAGCATCTCTCTGATGTTTGAAGGTTTTTTCCTCGTTCACATGTAATAATCTATGACGATGATGAAAAGTTTACCCTTCAGTGGGACGAATTTTTGTTTACATTTACTCTTTTTCTCGTGTCATTGAGGAAGTCAAGAGATTTTCTGAAGTTCTTTACCCATTCATTATGCTTTTCTGACTGGCAGAAGCCTTCTTCTCTGAACCCTATATCATTGTTTTTCCTGCATTTGAACGCAATGGGCTCTGGTAGCAAACTATTTGCTTCGTTACTAGTATACGTCTGTGTGGGTGAAAACTATTTCCCGTCGCTCCAACTGTTTATTAAGTTTTCTAAAGATTTTATTTCCATCTAGATACACCGCCGTGAGGCCAGAAGCTTTAAACCATTCGTCTTACTCATTGTTACGAGCTGCAAAGTCTTATTTTTACACACTGAGGTATTCTTCTCTGGCCCACAGCTCTTTTTCACACCCCCGACGTATTAACATGTACAAGAAGGTATTTGTTGTTGCCTTGAAAAGTTGCTGGTTGATCGGAAGCTTACCATCCACAGCTACATTTCAGTAGTTTAACATCATGAATTTTATACATTCTCTGATGATGTTTCTAATTGCGTTATAATCATAGTTCGATTATTGTCTCTTGAATAAGTTCAGGTGATGAACAGAATGAAGCACAAAAGAAGTAATGTAATTATTAAAATGTAGACAAATATAATAAAATTGAGATACATAAAATTAATAAATAAACGTAAAATTAATGCAGAAAAGTAAGTCAACTAGGCAACTAAGTCAGAAACATTTGCACGTCATTGATCCTGATTCCATTGTTACATTCGTCTTGTCTCATAATTCGATCATTTTTTAGCTATGTGTATGACTATTAAATGACTTTGATCTACTATTCAAATCATCCTAACAAGTAATTCACCACAATCAAATAATTGTCACCAAAATAATTGTAAAAATTTCAATGCCACATTGTTATCAATTTTCGACTAAATTACGCATGTGATATCATTTAATCTTTTTTTTTGTCGAATGTTTCGTATGTTACTTTTGGAAGACGTCAACATATTACTTGTCTTATCTCTCAACTACGGACTTTGTTGAGAACAATTAAACTTATCAAAAGTAAAGAATTCCGGGTGAGAAATATATCATGAGTGAATGCAACCAAGTAAAAAAAGTCATTCTTGTGCAAGGAAGTTCATTTAAGAATAGATTAGGCGCAGCAATATGAATCTCTCTATGATATAAGGTCGTGAATATCATTGAAAAATACACAGTGGTTAAAAATGAACAATTTTTTACGCTATCTCTTCGAGGATATAATTATTGATAGTTGGCACAGTGCAACTATTTCAGAAAAGGCTTGGTAGTTTACCTAATAATTCATCGGAAAAGTAAACGTAAATATCTCTTACATAATGCAAGCAATTTCCATATGTTTTCAAAATATGATAGTAGGTTCTTTCAAGTTTTATTTCTTATAATTTGTTTTACAATGAATGTTCAAAATTGACGACACCGAACTACAACACATAAACGTATCATTTTTGACATATTAGAAAAAAAGAAGATATATGATGTCGTTTCACCATTGATTTTACATATTTCAATCAAATTCAAAGTCTGAAATTTCTCTGCAACTAACATCCCCAGTCTTCTGGTGAACCTTCGCTTAAACATAAATCGTTTTAAGTAACAAGAAGAGAAAAGATTCATTTGTTATCTCAACAGTTTTAAACGATTTATCTGACGTGTAAATGTATTTAGTCGTATCTTAAATTGCTTATCAAATAACGATTCATTTGATACAGAAGTGATTATCAATTTGGATGATATCAAATCTTATGGTGAATTTCTAGAGACATTATACTGCAGAGTTGCAACTTTGTTTTCTCTTGAAATTGTCTCTTTTTGATAGTTATCTTTTTTTTTCATCCACACTTTATATATCACTCTAATGGATATACTTCTTATTAGGTAACTATCTCTCTTCAAAACCATTAAAGTCAGAGGGTGAAACATAACAAAATAAAATAGTATTATTTACTGCTTTGAACTGTTTCCACGTACTACAATTAGAAGTCAATTTTGAAAGAAGAGAAGTCACGAACCATAATTTTTCGTATTAGTGAATAAATTGGAAGTGTTTATGCATGTTAATTTATAATCATTGTTCGTGGCATCATCACAACTTACAAAAATTAATTAAAGATTTTAAATTAAATTGTTTATATTTATAAAATTTTACAAAATTTTACAAAATTTCATACCTATTGTTATGCATTTCTCATAAAATTCAAGTTTGGCAACATATTTTTCAATTAGTCAATAATGTACATCTCTGATGGCACATATATATTGTTAATATATATAGAAGGTTACTGAACGATAAACATTAGAAATTCTATTTCCCAGACCGTGACAAATATCTGATATACTGAATGGAGACTGGGTTATGATGCCATCGTACGAAAAGATTACGAGACTGTAAGAGAGAAACATCTAGTCATGAATGAAGATAGAATGATCCCGCTCATGTCTATCATGAACTCATATTTCATCGATCGAAGGCTAGTGATGCATCTATAATTCGATAATTTAATACTTTATAAAAAAAAAACAAAGGAGAATTTTAATAGATGCAAAGTCTATAATAGGTATATATTTTTTTGACAAATCAATGAACTAATCTTTATTTTATAAGGAAACTAAATACCATTATATAATAACAAATAGAAAAAAGCAAGAAGTTTCTTTTATTCAATAATATTATTTTCATAATAATCCATTAAATAAAAAATATCTTTCTCTTTTTCATTTAAATTTTCAATCATATCAAAATTAATATTTGATAATCGATATTTATCAATAATTTCTTTATCAAATGATGTTATCTGATAATCAATTTTATTAATAATTGATTTAATTATATCATAACAAATTGAATTATGATCTTCATTTTCATAATAAAAATTTGATAAATTTTTATTTAATCCACACGATATATATCGTGCAATATGTGTCGTAATTTCTCGATGAATTAATGCATCATAATGCATACCATCTTTACAACGATGTTGAATACGTTTACGAACAAGATAATGAAGATCAATAACTTGAAAATTATATTTTTTTGCCAATTGAGATGAAAATGTATTGATATCCAATATTCGTATGCGGAGAAAATTTTTCTTTTCTGAACGTGTTTCATCTAAAACACCACGAGCATCTTTTGAAAATGGTGTCTAAGAAGAAAACAAAAACAAAAAGAAATACGAATAAAAATTTTGAAGAAACCTACTGCTGTAAGCCAAATAACAATTGTATGTGGCGGAATAATCGAACGTATTGAACGAAAACATTCTTCAAGTAATTGTGCATAATCTTTTTCACTATTTTTTTCATATTTTGTTATATCCCAAATAGCTTAAAATATAAAAAATATTTCTATTGAAAAACAAAAAATAATTTCTTTTTACCGGAATTAAGAAGAATAATATCTGGTATAATTGTCTTATTCTCTTCTATTTCACGTAGTTCATTTCTCATTTGTCCACTAAAACATCGTGTTAAGAAAACAAATTTTATTAAATGTGTATTTGTTAAATAACAACGTCTTTCATAATATGATGTATCATTTGTTTTTTTATCTCCAGCTAATAATTGATCATTTAATGTTGACATATCATAGTCATCTAATTTAGCTCGTAATTCATCATTTGTTAATAAACGATTTTGTCCTTGTACAAGTAAAATTATATCTTTATATATACTAAATAATAGAAATTTTTTTTTCAACAAGAAAAACAAAATTCGTTTTTATTAAATTATGTTACTAACGAACGCATGATTGAATCCCCACAAAGAAGAACATATTTATTTCGTAATAAAGAATAGAGTGTTTCACTATCGATTAAATCCATTGTAAATAAAAAGCAAAACGATACATATATATATAAGACTAAGATTTCACTTTTGTTGAAGAAAAATCATTTTTCCTATTTATACATATATGTATAGCTGAATTTTCTAGCCGTTCTTTTCGTGTTCGACGAATCAATATTCTAGTCGAAATATACAATTAAGAGAGATCACTACTTGTTTGAATTGAATGATTTTAGTAACGAAAAAATCTTGCAACATGAAAAATCACTTTTAAGATATGTTTTATAACCCCTATTTAGCCTTGACTAAATTGAAAAAGATTTCTATACATAAAATTCTAGATAGTAGAAGTTCATTATAATAGTGTTAGATTTTCTAATTCAATATTGGTATCCGTTAATGAAGAAGATGAATATGAATCGTTAAGTGATCATGCCTTCTCTTGTTGTTTGTGGTGTACAAGCAAGATATGTCGGTGAGTACATTGACGGCGGAAGGATCAACGTTGCTTAGTCTTCAAATCCAACCTTCAGTTTGAAATCATGTGTCAAACTATGAACATCATTCTACATATACAATGATGGACAATGTCGATGTTCAATAGTTATATCAGTTTCAAAGTTCTCCGAATGAACATCAAAATGCTTTCGCTCATTCTGAACAAATAGTTAATATGTCAGACTATATTGAAAATGAACAATTTGTACTGATACCAACTAAACTCTAGGTCACAATCGATTAGTAACAACTCAATTGCTCAATACCATCCACAGCATTATTTAGATCAAAGTTATTTTCACATACCTTCTTGTACTACCACTTCATGCCCGTACTCTTCTCCTCCTTATCTTCAGAACGCAACAATCAGTCGTCAGTGCTAATTGCTTCTCTCATTCCTCTTTTAACGCTGAATGAAATGAAAAATGGACATCATGATGTCGATGGTCCGATCGAAATCGAAAGAAATATGTCTATCCAGGACGATTATGAAGAGAACAGTTCAAATTGGTAAACAGTACGAGCAAATTCGAAAAAGAAACCTCATGTTCTTCAACAACAAAATTTTGTACTCCACTAATCTAATTCGATTATAAATAAAGCACAACGATTTATGATAACCTGTTACTCGTTCTTATGCTTTATCATCCATTTCAAGGATAATGTAAGAAATAAACTAGTCGTTGAATATTTCGTTAAAAATTCGAAAGATCAATTCGACAATTTTGATCTGAAACTAATGAGTTATCCTAGATCTTCAGTCAATTGAAAGCAAGGAGGATACGATAAAACGAAATTTTGTTGAAGAAAAACGTGTGAGGAATTCGCAGGTCTGGAGGTTAGATGCATCTTATACAAAACAAAAGATATTTCAATTAACAATAGAGATGAGAAAAAAAAGTACTGTATAAAAAAAGCCTTTCTAAACAAATTAAAATTAGTTTTGTTTAAATTCAAGAATTTCTCAATTATCAAGAATATGTTGTCCGGATATCGTAGGCTCTCTAATTGTTTCAATTAACATATGTTGAAGATGATTTAAATAACGATGAATATCAGTTGAATAATCAGCGCTTGATGATATATCATGCTGAATTATTGGTTCTGGAATAACTATTGCAGTGTAATTAGTCAGATTAATATTATTTAAACTTCTTAATTTTAATTCTTCGTAGAGGTCAAAAGCAAAATCATAAATATCCTTTACATAAAAACGAAACATATTTCAACATGATTTATATTTGACATTAAAGTACTTTTGATTGAGCAAAGATAAAATTTGTACATAAATTCTTTTTAATAAGTTCAACACTTGGTTTCGATGGTGTAAATGGATTATAAGTTTTAATTACAGGATAATAACTAATTAATTAGCAAATAGAAAATAGATAAATGATTTATGTGTCTAAAATTTAACTTACGGAAGACATTTAGGTATTGAATGATCTTCAAATGAAACTTCTATATAAGATACATAACGTGAAAGATTTGTTTGTTGTTCAACATCAAGTATATTCATAACACAATTCATATCTCCATTACATGTTAAATAGAGTACTTCAACAAAAAATCTTTCAGAATCTGTTTTAGCACTAAACATCGCGTCAAGAAATGGTAAACAACAAACAGAATTAGCTGCTCGATTAATATATGCAGGTAGTTTTTCATTACAAAGACGTTTAAGAAATTCATTTGCAAAATGATTGCAACTAAATCATTGAAAAAATAAAAATTTCAATTTCTTTAATAATAATTTTTACTTATTATATACAAGATGATAGGAACTACCAATAAATATTTTTCCTAATTCTTTCAAAACAGTACCAACTGTTTGTTTATTTATTTTTGTTCGTCCCATATCAAGTCCTTCTTGATAGATATAAGCAGCAGTTTTTGGTATAGTTGAAATAATACCAGTAAATTTAAATGGATGAGCAACAAATGAATGTTCTTTACCATAAACTTCAACAGCTGTATGATAAAGACCAAGACCAAACATTAAAGAAAAACGATTAACTCGTTCTGAAATTGAGTAAATATGAAGAATAACTAATTCGGAATCCATTGAATTCTATAGACTTCTTTTAATCTGTCCACTACTCAATTGAGAGTAAATATACATTACTATACAATTATAATAAACAGAAATATTACATTTGAATAAGAAAAAAATTCACTTAGTAACAAATAACAATACTAAATTTAAATAATACGATCAATTATGAGAGAAACTAAAAATCTATCTAGTTCCTAAAGTCTTTAATAGAACCAAAGATATCAATTAATAGAAGCGAAATATTTCTTCAGCGTAAATCAAATTCACACATATCTTTCATAGTTAATAATAACTGATATTCCAATGAAGATCTCTATTAAATAAACAGTTTTTTCTTCGAAATAGTATAATAGATGAAAGTCTTTGAAAAGGTCAATAGTAAATTCTTCTATTTCGTGCTTACTTTCAGATTTTTGTTTCAAAAGAGGTAAAGACAAACTAAGAAACAATTTTCGCAACAGGATCCAAAACGAAGCCAATGGATATCCGGCAGATATTTTTACAGTTATAGTACGATTCTCAAACGTTTATTTTATATCAAAAAAAACTATACTGTTGAGTTTATTCCATAGACAGCAACAACAAAAAACAGAGAAGGTGATTCAGGATTCGCTTGATGTCTTTCGACTTCTACAGTTCAATTAATTTTGCTGAGTTAACGTTTACTCGTTGCTGATGACGGTGGAATAGATAAATGATTTTTTCAATTACGATAAAACATGTTCACATTTTTTATAATTGATTTTCCTCTTCATGTATTCAGTTACTTCGTCAGATGATTCATCATGATCATCTAAGATATGGATGAATAGATTGAAATATTTTCTTCTGTGATTTGTTTAATGAAATGAAAAAATACTATTGAATAAAAGAACTTTGTTATTCTATTCAAATTTTATTTTTTTCTTTGATTGTATGAATTTATCTCTCGTCGAATTCTGATTTCGCTTACATTACATATATGTGATAATCTTCAAATTCTTTATTGAATTTCAAGTGTTTGTACTCTTGTCTTAACTTAAGTATCGTATGAACGAAAAGTATGATTATATCAACACTCTCTTACATACAATACACAATATACAACATAGTTTTTCATAATATACTGTTCAAAATTCATTGCAGCATTGAAATGAAATCTACTATTGAATACAGACTTTTTTTGTTTCTTTCTCTAAGGTTATTCTAATAAAAAGTTTCATATCGAATTTGAAATAAATTAAAAGGCTTTTTTCCTTCTTCTTGTACTTCGTTGTATTAAAATACACACACACAAAAACAAACAAGCAAAAATAAGAAATTTTGCAAAGACAAAAAAAGAAATTTCATACACATTGAATAATTTTAAATAACGAGCACATATTATTTAATTTATCTCCAAAGAAAAAAGAACAAAATGTTCATAATATTCAAACAAGAAAAAAACACAATTTTACAAAATTAACTAATAATACAATCTTTTTTCCTTCGTCCACTATTTGATTTGTTATCTTTTTTATTAAATATTGATGGTTTTTTCATAAGTGCTGGATTAATTGTATTTCTACCTTGTTCACATTCATCAACATAAGTAATTTTAGTTCCGTAATTAATTGGTTTTTTAATTCGGTTTCCATGAATATCATATTGGCGATAAATTGCATCTAAATCATCGTCACTTTCTGAATCCGAAGATGACGACGACGATGATGATGATGATGATAAATAATATTTTTTTGATCGATTATTTATTACTGATGAACGTTCAGTATGTTTCTCTTTTTCATCATCAACAAAACGAACATGATGTTGTTTGGTAAAACGTGCTGAACCATTTAATGAACGTGAACGTGGAAATTGTGCAGTTGTTGCTGTGGACGTTGTTGAAAAAGCAACTGATTTGGGTCGTGATATTGGATACATAATTTCATTTGAATCAAAATGTTTTGTACGATTTTTTGGTACTGATGAATCAATTAAAGTATCTTGAGATATAATTGAATGATTTACTTTATTTGAATTTATTCGAGATGTTTTATTATTACTTAAATCTGGTAATGATGCACGTGATGATTTTGATGTTGAACAACGTGCTATTTCAAGTGTTGCACCATGACGATCAAGTTGTTCAAGATTTAAATCGTTATAAAATTGTATTGGTTCACGTGAACGACTTTTTGTTATAAAAATTTTATTTTGATGGCGATTTTTTAATATTGATTCAGGTGATGATTGTAATTGTAAAAATACTTGTGGTTTATCTTTCTCATAATTTAAACTATAAAAATTCAGAAAAAAAAAACAAATTTTAGAAACAAATATTTTCTTCTTTACTTTGTTTGATATTGTTGACGGTTATTTTTAGATTTTCGTGTACCTGTACCATCAGATACATAACCATTATGAAAATCACGCCTATATTTACTAATATTAACACCATCAGATACATAACCACCTTGTTCTTTTGATCGACTAGATATTGTACGAACATTTGGCTGCTGTTGTTGTTGTTGATGAAATGTTTTCGGCCGTGGAGGAAGAATTTTAACATGTTGATTTGTTTGTTTATATGTAATTGGTATTAAATCGGGACTTTTATCAAATTTTTCTTGTTGAATAAGTTTTTTATGATTAAAACGATTATTACGTTGTAATGCACATTCATTTGAACAAAAAAGTGCACCATATCGAGGAAAAAAAGCACGATTAAGTAATGGTATACGACATGTATAACAATAAAAGCATTCATCAGTTGCATGCCAATGTTGAGATTCATGTGCCATTTGTGCTTGATCAGTTTCAATACGTTCTCCACATGTATCACAATATTCAGCATACATTGTTTCAAAACAATTTAAACAAAATGGTTGATTTTGTCGCATAACATAACGTTCTCCACCCAAACGTTTTTTACAATTTGAACAACAAAAATGATCCATATGCCAACTATAACCTTCAGCTTCGGTACATTCATCACTGAAGATAATCTAACGTAGATGGAAATAGAAAAAAAAGAACAATTAGTTTACGTCGTTCGACAGTAGTCAATCTGATACAACAAGACTATTACCATCATCATCATCATCATCGACATCAACAAACGTCGACGATCTATTACTTAACTATTATCACTGTGTTCGCAATACTCCACAGAGACAAACAAATCGTCTAGTCCGACTCATAAACATACATACTCAACAAATACATATACATGTACGTCTGGCATGTCAATAATACAAATACTTAAAACTTGTCATCACTGTATACCTTATGTGAACATGATAATAGTCTTGTATTCATATGTATGTATTGTCGAAAAATAAGACAGAAGAAAAAAACGGCAACTACTAATAGTATTTCTTTGTTTTATACATGCAAATGCCTACCTACATTGTTATCTATGATGATTATATAATCAATTATAGTTTCTTTTTTTTGCACGACAACTGTTCTCTCCTCTTATTCTCATTGATCAATCATCTATCCAGGTTTTTTTTTCTATTTAACAATTTGTCTAATTCATTCTACATACTTCATCACATGCTGTACATCGTGGTTTATATAATTCAGCATGATGTCGACCACAATAAAGTAGACCATCTTTATGAAAATAAATTAAATTAACAAGAAATTCTTTGCATTGTTTACAAGTAAAACATTGTGGATGCCATAGACCATTTCGACCAGCTCGTTCAGCATAAATACATATTGAACCTGAATCAATTAACTTTTGACACTAAAATGAAATAAAAACTGAATATCAATCATATTCACATATATATATTTATAATTCTTATTTATAATATTAAACATCTGTTTGTGTCTTGTCTTATATTTATTTATCATCATCATCTCGATTGTGAATATCTGTTTTTGATTTCACACTGAGTGCCATCGATCTAATATACAGCAAATGTCATACACACTTACTGTTCACTCTAATCAATGAACTTTGCATTAAAATAAAAAGAAAACGAAGAACTTCTTTTTTATTTTGTGATATAATTGAACACAATTAACTAGCTGATCAGTTGATATTGATTTTCTTACATCATGCTTCATCGCTTTTTTTACACGCCTGAAAGCTTCAATTTCATCAGTTAGTTTTGTCCTCAGATGTCAAATTTCGAAAAATGATACATGTTCTCTTAAGTTCTGTCGTCTATTTTTATTCTCGTTTCGTAATACATATTTGTACATGTATATATGTATTAATCTTTCCTCGAGGTGATATAGATGTACAAGCAAAAAAAAAAAAAAAAAAAAAAGAAATAACATATTCTTCAATTTACCCCACGACATGGCACAGGAGATTGTGTCAATGGTAATTGTTTAGCAATACCACGACCGAATGCATTATGTCGCTGTTGTTCATTAAATGTTCGCAATTCATTTTTTTCATCTTCACTCAATGAACGACAATATTTCACATCGGAATCTTGTGGTGGTATTTGTATTTCAAGCATTTTCTATTCGAAAATTCATAAGAAAAATATTTTTTTCAATAGAATAACTTACTGTTCGATATTTTTCACCAATTGAATTAAGAAATGGTACTTTATCTTCTGGAAAACATTTAAAAAATTGTCGAACCTTAATAAAATAAAGATGAGGTTTTTTTTCTTTAGTACAATTATATATATATATATACATACCTGTTCCGCTTTAAGACCTGATGGACACCATGCATATTCTTCAAGAGCACAACCAGAATCATCATCACTAGTTGATGAACGAGAATGTTGTTGTTGTTGTTGTTGAGGAATCATTCTATTAGTTGTTAAATATTTTTTCGATGAGATCAACTCAGTATCGGCACACACTCTAGATAGAAGAGTAAATGAATGAATACAAAAAATATCTTAAGCAATTCATCATGTCTATGATTGTGTATGTGTCCCGTCCATTCTATCGAATAAGAAAAAAAAAGGAAAGGGGAGGGAAGATAAATCTCTGTCATTTTTCATAAAACCTAAGAGCGAAAATGATGTATATACTACTGAATTATCAAGATAACATTTCGAACTTTT